AATATATTTTCACTATAGGACTTAGGTAAGAAGCTGTGTTTGATGTTTTATAAATTTACCTTGTGAACTTTATTGACTTTTAAACTGTCTGATGTTTTGTCTTTAAATCTTATACATTTTGTATTTATTTTTTGACGTTTTTGATTCATTGATATCTTAAAAGTAAAGGCACTTAAAACTTTTAACCTTTTCACAAATTAGAAACGTGTGTGACATGTTGTTATTGAAATTTTGAAATGCGTCTGAAATTGTGGAAGATATTATGTTGACAAGTTTTTTAATTCTTAAACTTGATCAAGCGGTACATTTAAAAAATATTCTTTCGCAACTTACAAATATTTTTTTTTGCTTAACATAGGATATTATATAAGTTGTAATAGAGGATATTATTCTCCTATAGAAACACTGGCCATGACCATACATCTTTTACATCTATCATCAATTATTAAGGTAATAAAAATTAATAATATAAAACAATTTACATTCCGGAGTGCAAAATATAAATTCTGAAGAGACTGAAATTGTACAATGTTACAAATTGTAATACAAAAAATCTTAAGGTAACCCCACACCATAGTGAAAGTGGTCATGACGTCCTGTGTCCAGTACGCAACTTTACACAACTGCGATTATTTTTTGAGCTAATGGAATAGCATCCAATTTGACATGGACTGAGTCATATTTCTTTTAAAAGCAGTGACCATTGGAGTGAAAAATATGCGAGATTCTAATGTAGGACATTCACATTGACTGTGTAAATATCCTGTTAGACGCGAGATGGTCAATACAATAATTGGATTATAATGTAAAATTCGTGTATGTATATACACACTGTATATCGTATTTCTCATTGACAATGGACAAGTCGGTCGGTATTAGTCTTTTTATTTACTTATACTTTTTATAGACACCTTGTTCTCAGTAAGAAATTCAGACGAAAGAAGGCAACAGAAATATTGTTATATAAAAGAGCTCATTTTTAAAGGCTTTTTAGATTTAACTATTACAAAATTCAATAGATACAAATATCAAATGACACATATTGGGAATCCGGCATCCACTATAACAGATAATCGTGTGTTGCTGGCTGTTCAGAAAATAAAGCAAGTTCACTGTACAGGAGCGAGGAGTCGATAACCAGAATATTCTACGGTACGAAGACTCTCAACTCTGAATAAAGAGCCAAGCCCATGCTGACATAACGATTACGAGTTTTGAATATAAGATTAAATTCCATTCATTCATTAGTCAACTAATTATTGCGGGTGTGACTGTTGAGGTACAGATGGGGTGTTCGTTGATGTCCCTAGTGCTACTTGTGCCCCTGCTTGGAAATCGTAATATCCAATTCAATTGACAACAACCTTTGTTTTCTTCAAGTATTTCGACAAAAATCATCGATTTTGTAAAAAATATATGCGATTTGAAATCAGGAGCATTACTGTAATAGAATTGTTTGACTGTTTCTAAAAATCTGAAAGTCACACGGCTATTGTTCGCCATTCTGTGAACTAAAATGTTGTACTGTGCTTCCAATCCGTGCGAAAATCAACATTTGTACCATTTTTCTCGAACAGTCAGAATTGTCTCGAAAATTCTTCAGACTCGGTTTTAAACGGTTATAGTCTAAGTCATCCAGTCTGAAATCGTAAGCTTGTTGACCATTGTTCATCTTAGCCAGTTCGTTTTCGCAAGTTAATTTACCTCTAAAGTCCAATAGAGACAGAAAACTTTATGCCATTATACGGTCGTTAGAGTTTCGCAATTGCTTGCGCAATATTCTTGATCACTACCGGTTCATTGCCACGACCACGACCGCGAAGTAATATAAATTGTTATTATCTATACAACTACTTTTTATGGCCTATTTATATTTATAAGGTTACTACTATAAAACAGTTTGTGAATGAGAAAAATTGTTTTCCTTTCTTCTGACGTATGCAATAGATTCTATATTTGTATAATTTGATATTTATTTGCTATTCATATGGACGAAACAAAATATATTGGATGGTGTTGGGTAAAAAGAATCGACCACCAATCAGATGCTTGTAAAATGCCCCAAGAGATGATACTCGATAAAATGAACCCTTGAGGTAATAAGCGATAGAAATAAACCCTGAGATAATATTGGTGGTAAAATAATTGGCCCAGAGATAACATTACTGATAAAATGAACCAAGGAATAATACTGTAAAAATTGACCAAGAAATGTAACTTGGTAAAATGTACTTAAAAGAGGTCCTTGGTAAAATGGACCATGAGTAAAATCCATGGAAGGTGGACCAAGAGATGAAATGTTGTAAAATGGACAAAGAGAGGATATTGGTAAAAAAAATAAAACAACAATAAAAGTTATTGGTAAAATGAACCAAGATAAAAACAACTAGGTAAAATGCACTTAGAGATAGAGCGATACAAAATTTTGGTAATTTTGGTAATTTTGGCTATTTGGTAAAACGAACTAAGAGATTAAACTGGGTAAATGGACCAAGAGATAAAACGGGGTAAAATGAACCAAGAGATGAAAGCTTGTTTCAATATTTACAGTATACTATGCAGGTTCACAAGTATACAGCGTAATAGTAAAATAGATATACCACAAACTATATTGAACCCAGCATGAAAATTCAGACATTTTCATTGACCAATAATATAAACCATTAATTTGTAATCATCACCCGTATAGGGCTATTGAAATTATTCATGACGTTATTATAGCATTTTTATTTTATGTGAACTTTTCGTCGTCACAGCTATTTACCCCTACCCCCTTCCCCCGAATACGAAGTAATTGCAATAGGTTGCATAGTTGCCATTCAGAAAATTTTTTTTTACTGGATTCTTTACATAGAAGAGTTATAAGTAATCTGTATTACTTGTTCCAGGGGATTACTATGATATAGTTGTATAAAATGTTATACTAAATATAGTAAGAAGGTAAATGTGCGACGTTTTCTGGTGTGGTTGACAGTGCGAGATTATCGATAAAGATTTGGTTGATTTGGCTCTAATTTACTGACATGACGAGCAGGGCAGCTCAAATGATGGAGGCTAAAAATGTCCTCTGCTGGATTTATAAGAAGGATGTACGGTTCTGGATACGCATCTTAACAGCGATCAAGCAATCTTTTTTTAATATAATCATTTCAAAATATTTATTTTTCGAAATTTTTTGAGGCGTTTTGAATACTTGACATTTTTGAGGCGTTATGAAATCTTTTCAAATGTTCATTTGAAAATTTGACATATATATGTTATGTAGAATTTATTACTTTATTTCTCGCATATCATTTTTTATAATTGTTAATTTATTGTTTTACAGGTTTTTATTGTTGCCTAGGGCGAAAACTTTATAGTGTGTGTCGACTGAAGAAATACAAACACTTAATAATAAATGACACGAGACAGAGATGTAACTTCTGATTTGAAATGAACTTAGATTTGATGTTGAAATTTTAAGGTAAGAAATATTATTATATTGTGCATTAGAGTTTAACGCGACAACGTTGCGCAGATGTCGTCTACCGGTATGTAAAATATAAACCATATATGTAATAACAACTTAATAACAAAAAGAAGTGCAACATGCATGACATACTTGTTATTATAGCTCTGACATATTGATTTACTTGAAATGGACATTGCATCATTTGAACGGAAACAACAGAACTATTTTATTTTCAATATGGCGATCTCCGTCTAATGTACGAGGGTGACTAATAGAAAACTAACAAATTATCATGTTGTACAAAACGAACCCAAAATCCAAAGAACATGATTTCGAGACATACTAGCAGCTAATAAAATTTTCACCTGAGGAATCATATCAATCATAATTGAGTAAGTATTTCATAATGAAACGTGGCATTAGGTGTCTATCAGTTGTGTAAGATAACACTGTTTTTTACAATGTTTTAAAATCTGGTTGCGAAATATCGCAATATCCTATCACAACCTCATCTTCACAATGTCAAGTTATTTCGAACTTCGTCTTATACCTTGACTTCAATAGCTGCTATTCTTGTATCAAAAAAACCTATACAATAATGTTTGTGTCTTGAACTGTATTATTTGGTTGAAGTGGGTGACATTCCGGTTAGATCACAACCATTTTGGACTATTGTCCAACAAAAATAAGCTTTTCATGGTTAATTTAACACTTGAATAGAAAATGAATCTAGGGATCTCTTGTACTCGACTGAGTACACACAAGTAAGAGATAATGTAGTGGCCGATAAGGGTTAAATAAGAAGTTAAGACTCTAAGTTAAGGATTTTGACTTACTTGGTTGTTGTCAATTTGTGTGGTCAATGTATGGACCACTAATTTCACTAATGATAAGAATGCCATCAATAATCATAAGGCATGAAATCAAATTAAAGCGGTGAGTATAACATGCCTTAGATGACTTTAATTGAATATGAGGAAAGCTGTGCTCCAGAGTTTGGAGTGTGGTCTTGTGACGTCAGTTGTTACTTTATCGGAGGAAAGTAGTGGACGTAGGTGCTATTTTGGTGACTTTTTAGATAATACAGATTATGGAAAGACATCTCGTCTCAAAGTTTTGCTTTGACCAACCATAGTTTATGTCAGTGTTTGGAATTTTGTGGGAGCGATTTAGAACTTTACAATGAATTTCGATTTGTATCAAAGATCACAGCGGTTACTAGATCTCTATAGAGAAAAATTACAAATGAGAACATATAGATCTCATATCCACATGAAAAGGTGTTTTGTCGTTCGGATTGGATAAGTACCAGAATGAACGTTAAAGAAAAGTGTTGGCTGATGATAGGGTTCTTAATAATGTCCCTCATTTCATGACTTCATTTTGTTGTCCGTCTTCAAGAACCAAAACAGAAGTAGGAAGTTCCATAGTCGGATAGGTCCATGGGCTTTTTACACCATCCTTGTAAAAACTAAATGTTAATATAAAGATCATGAATATTTAAAATCTCATTACTTTCTCTTTCTTTTAAGAATATGATGTAGTTAAGATGAAGAAATCCATAGTGAAGTCGAAAGTTCGGGAATCACTTAAAATTCATGATGTGCATCAGAGTGAAGTAAAAGACAGTAAATCGCATCTTAAAATAGATGATGCGCTTCCATGTGCCACAGAGAAAGATAATATTTTTCCATGGTACAGTCCTTACGTGATATTCGCAGTGACGCTGGTCATAAGAGTCTACTATGTATCGCAGCCTAGGAACTGGTGGATCCTGCATCCGGATGAAGTTTACCAGTCTCTTGAAGGTAGGTGTTGAAATAGGTCCCCCCCCCCCCCAATTCATGTGCAAGTGTTATATAACATGTTATGATAACAATTGACATATCTATAAATATTGCATAGTGTTATTATCAAATCAGGTCCGATCAGATCAGAAGACTGCTTAAAATTGTGACATATTTAGTACTACATCTGAAATAACTTGACAACGGCAACCTTAGCATGTTTCGAGCCTTTTCTATATTTCAAAATTAAAGGCCATCATCTTCCTAACAGATTTTGATACAACCTGGTTTTATAAAACAGTTTTCGTAAAACTATTTGTCCTGCCATCTTTATCATATATATTATATGACATGTTTCATTCAATAAAACAAGAACAAAACGCTACGTTTCGCTTACCGAAAACAGGACAGATAGGTAGTGTTACATCGATATTGTTCGACGTCATACAATAAATCAAAGAATTACGAAATTAGGGTGGATCTTAAATTGAACATAAATGTATAATTAAACTTATTCGACTATGCAATAAAAAAAAACTTCGCTATAAAATAAATCAAAGAATTACGAAATTAGGGTGGATCTTAAATTGAACATAAATGTATAATTAAACTTATTCGAATATGCAATAAAAAAAAACTTCGCTATAAAATAAATCAAAGAATGACGAAATTAGGGTGGATCTTTTACAATTCAAGATAAATGTATAATTAAAATTAATCGACTATGCAATAAAAAAAGATAATCATTTTAAAGGAACATAAAATTTAGATTTACAAGCTTTACCAATAGGAATATATTTGTATCTTTGGACCTACCCAGCGCCACAACTACTCAGCAGATTCCCCCTATAAGCCGATAAATCAATAAAACTAAGTATTCATCCTTAAAACTACGTAATTATTGAAAAACGCTTATAAGTGCATTACGCTTATAAGCGTTTTTTCGAAAATTACGTTGTCTTTTGGATTTATTGGATTATTCAAGAATTCTGTTGTATATTTATGGCACCAGATAGGTTTACTGATTAATAAACTCTTATTGACCAAGTTTGAGAAGTTGAATTTTATATGCATTCTAAGAGGTAGTATCCCTTTAAGTTGGGAGTGTCCCCATATTCACAAATTCACATGGGTATATTTTTTGAATATTTATGTCATAGTTGTGATGTAGAGTTGTGATGTGATGCGAAAAAAGCAGAGGATTGATATAAACTTTAAACATTTACAACGAATAAAGGTTTAAAGAAATAAAAGCAAACCTCAATGGAAAAGGATAATTTAGTCATATTCCACCTTTTTGAAAATGATGACCCCCCCACCCCTTCTTTCGCTTTAAGGGGTGATTTAGGATTTTTTGTTTTCCAAGATCTTAATATAAGTGTTTACTTATGGTTTGGTTTTCAGTTTTCACATGTCATACTACTATATAGTGGGATTCGTAATAACTTCAAATTAAATTCAAATAGCCGTATAATTTCTTTATATACTTAAGGTGTTGTCGAATACTCTTTGAAAGGCAAATAAATGAACAGTAGCCTTTTTAATTTTTTAACATCAAGGGTGAGTGTCTTGGCTATGACTATTCAAGTAGAAAATTAAAGTCACAAACGCGTAACGATTTAAATGTGACGGCATAAGGACACTGTTTTTCCCATTATTGAAATTCTTTTGGGGGAATATTTGGTAGTTATTGGACTGTAATTTTGTAAAATATACTAAAAGAAAGTTATAATTTCTTGTACTATCTGAACTTTTCGCTAGTTTGCCGTATTTAATTTAATAGGTGTTATTAAAAGGCGAAAAGGAATTCAAATGACGTAAGAATGAAAGAAGCATCCATTTTCATATTAGGACAACTATCTCGGTTCAATTAGTATCCTTTCTACCAGCTTGATCGTGGCCAAATCTCGCATTGATCTTGATCCGGATTATCCATACCCATATACATTTGAGTCGACCAGAATACTGAGGATGAGATGAATTACTAAGGTCACCAGACTTTCACACGCTGACCGATATCAAAACAAACGACAACTATCTGTTCGACGTACCAAGAAGGGGATAGCTGAATGATTAGTGATCCGACATGCTCTACCATTTACTCATCATTCCCACACACTAGTCAAAACTCATTGACATACTGATTCACTTAGTTATAAGCCACGACATGCGCATCCGTATTTGCGACTGGGCTTGTAAACTAAACATCCCCTTTGGAGAGTCCACATAGCTTTATTATGAAGGCATTGTTCATCAATGTCGTTTTTAAAAAGGTGGCGAGCACTTCCTCTTAAAACTTGTTTACATTGTATATTTCAGTTGCCCATTCTGAGGTGTACGGCTATGGATTTCGGCCTTATGAATACCTGACCTCTACACCAAATGAAAACACGACCAGACTAAGACAAAGAGAGATCAGTTTGGGGATGTCTGCAATGAGGTCTTTTATTTATCCATCCTTTTTCATAGCTATAACATGGGTTGCTGAACTTTTCACTCAGGGTATTAAGCCATTCTTGGTAAGCTACCGATTTACTTCATTGCCATCTTTTAACTTCACGTGAAGGCTTCGGACGAATCCAGACGTCATAAGATCAGGGGAAAAGAATTAGACGCACTGGAGACAAAATGACTTTCGATTTAAACTTTCCTTGAAAGTTAATATTTTAAAGAAACAACAGAAGAAAATAATTTTCTAAAGTATTTTATAGTATGTATTGTGACCTCCGTTCTACAATGCTAGTAAGTGCCACAGGTAGGTTCATCCCTTTCAAACGAGAAAACAATTTGTAAGCTTTCGAATAGATTTTCAATTTTGCCTCAATTTTCATTACAGCTATGGAAAGTTAGTCATGGTGTAGTGACGTCATTTTTACCATTAACGATCTACAAATTCAGTACAGATCTGTTTAACTCTCGGGATATTGGTGTTTTATCGTCTTTTCTAGTCGCAACATCTGTTCATCTTAATGTGTTTGGTACTCATACATTAGTGAACAGTTTTTTGGCGCCATTTGTGTTCTTGACGTCGTCTTTGATACTGAATGCGTTTTCAACATCAAAAATAAAAGACAGCGAACAAAAAATGGTTTCGAAAGGATTGCCTGGGGAATTCAAAGATATCAATGATATCTGTTCTCCTGTCGCAGAAACTACAAACAACTCAAATGTTACAATTTTGGGAAAACGACTAACATTTAATATTGAATCTTTATTACCAAATTTTAGTAAATTTCAATCAATGTCGAAAAATTGTGAGATCTTGCCAAATGGAATTTTAGGTTTGAAGAGGGTAAATGAGATCGCCCCACAAGTTGTCCAGATTTCTTATCACGTACCAATCGATGCTTTCTGGAATTCCTGGAAATCCATTAACCATCATCTGATGGTTACTATATCGTCGTTTGTATTGACAACATCATGCTATACGAGACCGGATGTAACTTTATTCTCAGTTACTGTTTTAGTGCCATTTATTTCCGTCGAATCAGTAGCCGCATCAAACATTATAGAAATTCTGGTTGGAATGACATCTGCAACGGCCATGTGCGTATGGTTGGATTTTAGAATGTTTGGTTTTGGAATTATTACACCGTGGAATTGGTTTTATTTCAACGTGCTTACTGATTATTCTTCTACATTTTTTGGAAAAATGAGTATATCGTTTTACACCAATGCTATGTTCACACAATCTTATTTTAATAGTATATTGCTCGTTTTAGCTGTTATACTCTTGGTGTATATGAAAGCGACATGTGCATTTAGGAACTGTGAAACTGTGATGAAGTTGTTCTTGTCATTTTGTATTTTACTAGTCATTTATTCTCTACAAAGTCATAAAGAAACGCGCCATATTCATAACTTATTTTGTTTATTCTATATTTTGGTCTCGTGGACATTTATTCGGTTTTTTAAAACAGTTTTATCATTAAAAGCAAGCCGTGCGATGATATTTTTTGTGTGCATCTTAAGTCTTTTCAATTGTATCCAAATATTTCCTAGTCCTAAAGACCAGACAAATGTATCTTGGACATATGCTCATACTAGTGATTCAAATGATGTGAACAGTTGTTTGGACTATGTGGGAAGTGCTGATGACGTCACAGGTGTATTTATGGATAGAAGTATGCATATGTCTGGAGGATATGCCATTCTACATAGAAATATTCCCATTCTAGCCTTAATGATAAACGAATTCAATGAATTTGATCATATGTCAAGGACTACCATAGCTTCCAGTGTCAGTTGGGCATCCAAGGATGTTCACGTGTCAACGTTTAGTCGTGCCTCCAACTTTATCTCAGTGTCGAACGCGCCATATTTATTAAAATATTTAATCGAAAATCCTCATTATAATTATTTGATTTTGAAAGTAAACAGACGTTTTATCACATACGGTTACGTGGAAATTTTTCGATCAGGTCAAATGAAAGTTTTAAAACGAAATTCAAAACCAGGTGATGAGAAAAGACTTCAAGAAACTGCAGACAAAATAACCATAGGATTGAATGCAACTGTTTTAAATCACGAAGGCAATATGCTGTTTGATCTAGGATGTGAGGATAAAGCAATCGAGCGTCTTGAAGAATCCAGAAAGATCGACCCATTCTTTATTAATAACTATCAATTATTATCCAATTTATATTTCCTTAAGGGCAAAAGGCCGAATTTATTATGCAAGCATGCTTTGAAAAAATTGATAAAAATTCATGTATGACATTATAGGCCTCGAGGCAAAGGTGACCTTATTAATGTCTTGAATTACGAATTTGTATTAAATCGAAACCGGCTCAGCCGGTAGTTAAAAAAATTACAAATATTGGTATTGATAGATTGTCATAAAGCGGACATGCATTATTGAATTTCGGGGAATAAGTGCTGGGGTCAAAACAATCTTAAAGGGATTCTAAGGACGTGTTTTTTTTTGGGTATACTTATAGGATCGAATAGGACCATTTAATTTTCAGTCAGACATTTGCAATACAACTAAATTCAAGCGTTTTATGACGTGGCTTTAGTAATGGATCTCAATTTCATTTACTTGTATAAGAATCTATGGTCCATAATTTAAACAATGCTCAATTCAGCTTTGGTAGTACGGTTGTTAATGTTTTTCTACTACACTTGATCTGTATTTATATTTATATATTATTTATTTAGTCATTAAACTATTATTATAAATCTGATATTTATTGTTCGATGATGAATGTTAAAACAGAGGATTGAGCTTGACTCATTGTCAATTTTCAGTGGCCACCGAAAAATTTCAAATTAATGCTTCAGACAAAGCTTTTGAGGGATTCTAAGGAGGTTTTTAAACGTGTTTTTGGGTATACTTATAGGATACTTCAGATACAGCTTTTGAGGATGTACATAGGGTATACATAATTTGATTTGTTAGTATTATCTAATGATAATTGGCTTTTATATGTATTAATTATTCAGGCTTAAATATGAGCATATGAAAAAAGCATTATCACTTTTAATTTTATTTAATGATAAACACAACATTCAATATCTATGCAACCATATTAAAATTTTGATTTAAAACAAGACGATGTTGGGGTTCGTCACATTTTTTCTGTCCATGACGACTATAGCATTCGGTTTCTATTTCTTTCATTGCTGTGAAGTTCCCAGATTTATAATAACACAAACTTAACAACTGATAAGGACGGATTCGTTTAGAACCAAACGACAAAGAGGCTCGCAGACGTTCTAAGGACTTCCGGTAATGGCCGATTGTCATCAGCCATGACCCTTCGTATTCTAGAACATCCGGCAAGGCAGCAAATACTGTTCTGTCCTTATTCACATTTTTTCTGGACTTATGTTTATTATTAGCGATTCGTTTTAAGACTGTAACTTGCTGACAAGCAAATTCTTCAGAAAACGACAATGGCTCGAATTTTTCTGGCGTTAAAGTGACTATATAGTTGTATACGTTTTTCACGGATAAAAGATGAAAAAGATATTTTGAGCTTAAAGTATGAATTATATCTGACATTCTATTCATGGCTCGAATTCCTTGGTCCAGCCTGGATCTATATAACGGACGGTCTGATAAATCATATTCGTAATAGTCATACTGTATTTTAGTCAGCATGGGCACATCTTTGTTAATAAGCGCAAACCCTCCCGTAGCATACAGTGAATAGTCAACAACTAATCCTGTAACGTCCGACTCATATCCCAGCTTATCCAAACAATCATTTATCGAAGCTGATTCCATGAGATTATTATGACTCCATTTAGAGCTACTTGAGTCTGGAAAATCACGATAGCTCTCAGACACAAATGCTGCCCAGACAAAAGAGACTAGAAAGGCAGCCAGAACCTTATTTTTCCATAGCTTCAACAGGTCCAATGTTGTTTTTAAAGCTACAGACCACAAAATACATACCAGCACATAAATATTGAAAATAAATCGTGGTTCTTTATTCCAGCGCATGCTATATACAACTAACATAGTAGTCGCAGTCACAAGAGTCGAAACGGTCGGCCATTTGTAATCGCTACGTTTCAATGTGAGAAAAATAACAAGGAAAGTGGCATAGTTGAGGCACGCACAAGATCTATTTGCATTTAAATGGTCCAAATAAAACCAAGGCCTCAAAACACCAAGGCTTCTATGAGACATATCCCGAATAAAACTAAGTTTAATCCATTGCACAGGCGATAAAAACCATACACCATACGTAAGTTTGTCTAGATAGCCACCCATACAGAAAGCTAGAGTTAGTCCCCCTTGAACACATCTATATCGTTTCCAGTAGTATTTATACTCTGATAAATAGGCTGGATAGCGAACTATTTCCAACAAAGCGTACATCATAAAGAATAAGACGAGGTCCAAGTTCATATACAGCAATAGACCAAGAACACAAGATGCTAGAGCCACGCGTGAAGCATTGAAAGTATGACCAGCTCCTTGTGATTCCTCTTTGGACGGCTGTTTGAGTATTCCAAATAATGCATTACACATCAATAATGTTATTAGCTTAACCATCTTCAGGACTTTGGATTTAATCGTACTCTCATCGGCTGATTGTTGGTCAGTTGAAGTCTCTGGACGGACGGTTTTATCTGCGAAAAACAAGATTTCGGCCAAAACTAAAAAAAATAGCGGAGATAACAAACTGTCCGCAAATGGATGCATGGAAAACACATTGATGTGGAGTGAAAAGGTTACAAATACTGATGACATCACAGCAATGTCGGTGTTACTGAACATGACTTTGGCGAATTTATAAACTGAAACCGGAAGTAGAGATGCTATGACTGCATGGACGATCTTACATACCTGAAAAATACAACATGTAATAGTTTTACACTAACAAGAAATAATTCAAATATTTTGGTCCGTAGTTTAATTCTCGATCATTATGCCAGGTCCATAGGTAATTATATTTTGTCATATGAAATTGACGTTCACTTTTTCAAATCAGAGACGCTCTTTGAAGAGTTGTGTGGTCAGATGGTTGACCTTTTGGAATTACATCTTTTACATCAAGGGTAAATTTGTGCAAACTTGACATTTCGTCGGTCGCTTTATGAAATGATTCGACCGGTTTGTGGGTGATTGACCCTATAATGAATGACAGGTGAATCTACGATGCATGACTGATTCTATTAAGATTCTATTTAACAAGGTTTGTTATTGGACATGGATTGTTCATTAAAATAGTTAAGTCATTCAAGAGTGAAATCTAAACAGACTAAAGACTACAAAGCCGTGTCAACATTGAACAAATTAGATCATTAAAATAATAAAGGTTAAGAGTTAGAAGAGTCCTTGAGATAATTTGTATGACAACGTTATTCTTACGCTGAGTTCATAGTTAAGCCTTTTGTATTTGAGATGGTTACTAACAACTTAAACCCTGGTCCTGAACGGGAATACTATTTATCCCTATAGAAGATTTGGAGCAAGGTTCAATTTAGATTGACTCCTGGTTGATCTTGCAAATGACATAATAACATGTAACATTGTTTCAAAAAGTCCATAGTTATTTTAAGTTTATAGAGACTAACGAGCGTTGATTAATATTACTAGATAAGGCAAAAGATTATCGTGATACTTTACTTTTGGGGAGATCATACAAATGAAATAAATGTAGTTTTACATCCTACTTTTCTGCACCTAATTGGGCCAAAGAAGACGGGCAGCGCCAGACAGTGTGGATGAGTTGCGAGAAAATCCGAAGGCATTATCAGGACTAATGCCGATATTGGACCAGGGGGAAACGTAGTGGGAGAAGTAGGGAAGAAGTAAAAGGAGAAGTAGAGATGAATGAAGAGAATAAGGATATATAAGTTAACGGTAGGGGCGATGGAAACAGAGATGGGAGAAAAATAGAAAAATAAGGGAAATGAGAACATATACAGAGAAGATAGGAAATATTGTATTGGAAACTGAGGTTGTATGAATATGTCTGCATGGTCTTATGAATATGTCTGTATGGCTGTATGAATATGGCTGCATGGTCCTATGAATATGGCTGTATGGTTGTATGAATATATCTGTATGGTTGTGTGAATATGGCTGTATGAATATGTCTGTATGGTTGTTAGAGTTGGCTGTATGGATGTATGGGTATGTCCTTATGGTTGTATGAATTGGCTGTATGGTTGTATGCATATGGTTGAATGGTTGTATGAAAATGTATGTATGGTAGTATGAATGCATGTATGATTGTAAGAATATGCCTGTGTGGTTGTATGGATTGGCTGTATGGTTGTATGAATATGGTTGTATGGTTGTACGAATATAGCTAAATTTATTTATCAACTATCTATTAAAACAAATACTTACTATGAAGCTATTGTAGTTTAACCCAAAATACCGGATTGCATATAAAAACGGTGTATAGAAATATGGATATAAGAACGACTTTAAACTATAAATTCCCAAAGAACTTTCTTGGTCTTCGGCAGCGGTTGTTCTGTTCAGCACTATAGGTGGTAGATACTCATACATTCTGAATCCATAGCCGTTTACTAGAGAATGCGAAACTGAAAAGTAATGGTTATACATATACTAAATGAACCATATTTACTATTGGCCGACTGAAGGGAATATTGAGTTGGACAACTCAATTGCATAGTGTTTTCAAGTTTCCGGAAGAGTAGGTTTCGATACCTACAACACTTTATTCCACAATGAGCTTAAAGGTAATAAGATAATACATGACTTTAATATTGTCAAATAGCAGAGTGTTCTGCTTATTTTTTGAAAAAAATTCAGTGCTGCAAGAGGTTATAATCTGGTTGATAAACAGCTATTTTGTTCGGTTTTGCACCATTTCAAAGATTCCTTGATAGAGTATCAGTTTATACACACTGACACCGTGAAAACAGTACATAACAATGAGAAGTTAACCGGATATTCGAATTTTTATACTCGTCTGTTGTGTAGAATTAACTCTCAATTGCAAACATGCATGTTATGAAATCTCAATGATTAAAATGATTCAAAGATGAAACACCCACAGATTCTTATTTTAAAGGGACAGATTCGGACAGATTCGTTTCGTCTCAGGAACGGCAATTGTTCAGCTAAGTTATAGTATTCACAGCTTACTATCAAAATTTGAGCCTTCTTAGCAATGTGAATCCATAATTATCAGTGTTTCAAAGTTACTAAGACGAGTGGATTTTCCAGTTTGAAAGATCTGTTAATGTTGCCACTAGTATACAATTGACTCAATCATCCCACACCCTTCGTATACGCACAGCAGCTACGAAAGATGTCTAGATGTCAGAGACTATATGAACAAGACGTTCAACTTTCGGATATCCCAATTTTCAGAGAGAATATAAGCTGAGGTTTGAGGTCTATTTGAATGAATTTTGCGTACAGTTCGTGTACTTTTGAAGACTATTTACATATATTCAAAGCCGAAATCAACCCTTGAAAATTCTAAAAGACACTCAGTCCTACCTTCAATGCCTTGGAAAATCTCATCAGGGTGTAAAATCCACCAATTGCGTCGTCTTACAACATAATTGATTCTAATTACTATATTAACAATAACACACAACCATGGAAACCATGTTGGTAGAATAGTACGTGACAAAACTTTTGCCTTTTTCGTTGATTTTGATGTAAATTTATCGGATTCGATATTCTCCGAATCGTCCTCGTCAACTGCCATTGTCTGTTGAAACTGCCTTGATGGCGTTCTCGTTTTCTTCTTTCGTTGAGACATTTCTGCAAGAATAACGTTCGAGATGTACTTCTGTCCCGCAGTTGCCGTATAGTGGACAATCGACGAGCAGACGACGATTTCCACCTAGAGATATGCTATTCTCATTAATATGACGTCAAAATAAACTATATATCAAATCAAATGACTTTTCTTCTGCATGCATAGATTTCATTATCTCTATAAGGACAGAAAGGTAATAGAAAATGTTTACGGATAAATGACTCTTAAACATAAAGGAAACACTAGAAAGATATTCTAAGCATTCTTTCCAATAACATTTAGTTGCTAAGGAAAAAACCTTAGTATTTGTGTATAGTCTAATATTGAATTAGCTATATTGAATGAATGTATTTTGCTGGTGCATTGATATCACATTAATCTATGTGTTATTGTCCATAGATTGTACGGAACACAATCGATTTTACATCAATCTTAACTTACGATCATTGTACATTGACAATAACTGACTCAAACCAAATTTATGCCAGTTTCTTACCTAACCCATATAGTAAATACCCAATGCTGACTAGGTTTCATCAAAATTTCTAACTACTGTCTTTGCAATTTGTTTTTACAGAGGAAAATTTATGATATTTTGAGGATGAAATTTGTGAAAGAGATATTTTTTTTAATGTAAACTTACAAAAATTCATGTATTCATTAACGAAAATTTATTTTGTGCTGTTTTGAAACTAATACTCAAATTCATTCTGATAAAAAAAGGGCAAAAGTCAATATACCAACTTGCAAAAACAGCATTTCATTATAAAACCAATGCATGTTTTTGATAGCAGTAACTCCTCTCCATACATACATAAGGTCACCAAATTCCTTCCATGTCTTATTAATATACATAAACATACAAAAGTACACTATTTATATTATTTATTAAATGGTTATACTTAGGGCCATAACTCACAAACCTATCATCCATCGACATATTGTCAAGTTGACACAGATCTCAAATCATACATACTCATGCGTACCATGTTCATCAAATACCAATAGAGAATTAAAGCCTATAGTTTGTCGAAATATTGCCAATTTTGATTTTTTCCACACATTGAATAATATGTACCTGCATACCAGGTTCCGTCGTAATTCGAATAAAAATTATAGTCTCCGTTGTGTCTACATAAAATCCCGACGAAATTGCAGTTGGCGTGTTGGTTTGGGAGATAACTAGTCAACATCCGGAAGACAGGGGCGACGACAAAATACGTACATATTTCCAAGTTGCCGTATTAAAAAGATATGTTATGTTATGTTATGTTTTATATTGTGTTATAGTATGATTTTGTCATGTTATATAGAAACTATTATATGCTTCCATACGTATATATTTCCATCATATCATATAAAAAGGACATAAAATGTTATGTTATGTTTTATATTATGATATAGAATGATACATAGAAACTTTTAGATGCCTAGGATTACGTCCATATTCCCATGGTGCCATATAAAAAAGATATAAAATATATTACTATGTTTCATATTATGTTATAGACTGATATTGTCATTTTATATAAACTATTAGAAGCTTACTCAGGTAGAAAGTAATCAATATAAGCAACAAGGCTACTTTATCAATTTTTCATTGTAGTGTTTTTATAACTCACTCTACTGTTCAATCTCATCAAATCATTGAACTTAAATAGAGGTTTAAGTGGTTTTTTAATAGTTTTTACGTAATAAAGAACTTTCGCCGTTTTGACTTTCGTGCCAACTATTGAGAACACAAATTAAGATATTCTCAATATTTGTAGTATTCTTCAAAATTAAAATCTAACAATACAAAAACGATTTCCGATTTACAACTATCAGAAATAAGTTCGTCCACAATACAATCAAAACGTACCGCTGGAAGTGATAACAGTTGTTATGCAAAATGTTATACTTGATTTAAGATTTTTGAGCATTTAGAGGACCTTGTTTGCACTTCAAAAAAAAAGATCCTTCACGTGCGTAAGGGGTGGGGGCTACCCTAAATACGCTACTAAAAGAAATGGGTGATAATGCCAGGTATCTGTGGAAAAACAAATATGTTTAGTTCAATTAGTGTACTACATGCACAAGTGAAAAGCTTTAAGGAGATATTGCTGAGAAAAATGATGGTGCCGTTTAAGCAACAGTCTTTATTTCCCATACATTCTACGGAAACAGAATCTTTCGTTTGATATCATATGAACGCAATAAATATATTAATAACTGAATGCCTTTTTAATTAGCTTTCCTTATCATCTTCAAAGATTAGCATTAAAATATAGAACCTATGTTACTATAAACTAACTGTACATACCTAACTGTCGTCCTGTCCTAGTGTACTTTCCTATCTAATGAGAAACGATAGCATATTGTTTAGACAAAGCATCCCGTTGTCAGTCTAAGACTATTAAGCTTAACTTTCTTTTCAGATCAATATTGTGGCTTCGTTTATCAATAAATTACTTCTATTATTATCCATGCTTGATTGCTTTCTACAAGAAACTTTTTCTTAGTCATAGCACTAGATCAGGCAATCCGTACATCTTGAGGAATTTTAATGGGAATAAAACGGCTCCTTAGTCCAAACTACATTTACAGAATAAAAATTCAAATTGATACTCTGTGCACCAAATGAGATTTTGAGGCCGACCGTTAACAGTTGATAGATTAACAGATTTTCCCGTTCACATGAAATATAGAAATACGATATTTTGCTAGAATTCTAGCAAGAATGATATTTTGTATATGAATTGGTCAGCAGTTTACACAGTTAACTCACTATAGTTACCAGTGATTGTTTTTGCGATAAATAATTGATAATCAATATCATATAATCGAGAAGACAAATATAACATACAAACATTATGTTCAAATAAAAGTAGCGTATAGCTGACTTGCAACAATCTATATAGACATTGTTACCTATCGCATAAACCTGGACGTAGAAAATAAAACTAAAGTGCCTTTGATTGCAAAGACGGTCTATATTGTTAATAACATGCCCCGGTGTATATATTGTTGACGACTATACCCTATTTGTGTGTTATTAGTATACCTTTACTCCCTATTATCTCTATCTGTCATATCGAATTACGTGTAATGACAATTTTTTACATGACAAGGATATACAAAGTTTCCCTAAACGTTAAAGGAATTCAAACGAGATTTTCTTGTTTTTGGATTGTATCTGAAACTTTATCAAGGTTTCATTTGCACTGTCCGACGTCTGTGTTCAAATAAAGAAATTGAGAGTCAATACAAAAGAACGACCCATACGCATATATTAGTCACGCGTTTCGTGAGTGTGTTCATATTTACAAAACAAAGTGTTAAAATGACAACGTGCATGCGTGTCGATTGGCTTGTTTGAAAAGCATACTATAAATAGCTTTCCAGTCTTTCTACAAGCAAAAAAAAACGTACATATCTCTAGCATGGTTTTTGATATTTTTTCCAGTATTTCTACAAGCAAAAAAAAAAACGTATATCACTGAACATAAATCTTAAGTTTACACGGCGTTATAACTGTCTTAAATTGTATGCAAATATTACCACACAATTAGTGATGGCTGCTCGGATTGTTTTCTGTTAATACTTGGTGTTTAAGTGTAGTCAAACTTGACGTGGGATTGTCATTCTGAAAAGCAATAAGGAGAACTGAATTGAGATCTGTCTAATGGTAAAAGAGGTATTTAAGCTTATGTAAGAGTCCTAAATCTTACCATTAATGAGCTTATTGTATTGAAAATGAACAGGGTTCAGAGCTTAAAGTAGTAAAAAGACGCGGTACGGTATCTGGCACAGTGCGTTATTATCGATACGGCTTCTTCTATTTTCCGACTCTGTACCCGTTAGTTATATCCAACCCATAGTTATGTCCCTTGATATATTCTTACCTTCTTATATGGTTATCCTTATCCTATTGTCGACAACATTTCCTTCTTCATTTCAAACATGTTCTCTCATGATTAAATTAATCCATGACGCAACATATTAGATATACACAATTCATTATTATATATTCTTTCTCTTTGTGAATATTAAACCTTACCTGTGCCTTACTACTAATATTTACAACTAATATTAGATTTGACAAATGGAGCGTATACATTGGGATTAATACAGTTCATAAAATACATACAAATTCCCACGATTATTATTGTCTAGCCATTACATTATATTGATTTGATGAAATAGGGAAATTCGTCATGCGTTTTTATATACTTTCGTTGGGAAACATAGAAATCGTGACTGGATAATATACTTTGATGATATTTGCTGAAACTTCGAATTGGTTGATTTCTACATTTGAATTTCAGCTGTACTTCATGTACGTATTACTCGCTGTAACAATTTCCAATTTTTAGCTTCAAATTGCCATTACAATCATACACAAGCATAGACGTGTGGATCTGAGCTTATCTATTCAAAAAAGTTTGCTCGAAATTTCTTGTCGCTGTCAAAAAACATCAAATCACTACTTTTAATGCGGTTTTTAAAGAAATTATACTAGTGTTAGAGTAAGATTGAGATATAAAAAATCCCAATAAAAGCACTGGCCTAGCAATTTCGTCCGAAATGGACTCCGCGAAAGCTTTGTGCGAAACAAGCGCTTGAAAATGACGTTATGTGTAGCGTTGAACCATTAACTTTTTTATGTTCATACTGTAGCTTTAAACGATAAACAAATTTTGATTTCAGGCAAATGTTTGTATTTAATGTAATGGTTATTTAGACTAAAAGCCTTGATTGTTTCAGGTGGGGGCAATACATTAAAGATATAATTACTTTTTCTCTGCAAATTACGTACGTAATGGAGATAATAGCATATTGTTTATGACCATTATGGACACATTTGCTGATGAAATATATAATATTTGAGCTGTCGATATCGTTTTAAAAATGAAAATTTACATTTTCCCGAGAGAACTGAGCTGAACTGGAAGAGCAAATATTTAGGAGAATATGACCCTTGAAATGTAATGGTAAATTGTACTCCATAGAAAATTCGAGTGGTTTCGACCTGGATAACTTTAAAATTGGTAACAACCACCGGTACGTTACAAATAAGGCTATATTGATTTGAGTATGTCTAGGCAAAACTTACAAAAACGTAAAATATATGTATAAGTCTATCGGATTTGTAGGACCTGTATTGAGAGCTATGTGTAACTGAATCGCTACAATTCAAATCCTTCATGTCTTAGCTTTAATTGGACATATAACTTTATTTGTCCTGGGAGATTTTTTTTTTAATAAACCTAGTTGGATAATTACAGTACATTTCAGATTATCAAATAGTTTATTGTCAGAGAGTAAATATATTTCAGCATTGTTGTATCATACTTACATCTCTACCTTGAAAGGGAATCATCGACTAAAGTCAAGCACTCGATCTACCAAGTTGACAAATATCTTCATTCTTAACAGTATCACAGAGCTAAAGACATAACACAATTAAATACCATAACGGAGCTGAAGTCTCAACCAACCTCAGCACAACAGAGCTGAAGTCTCAACCAAACCTCAACACTACAGCAGAGCTGAAGACTCAATTATACCAACCACCACAGCAGAGCTGATGACTCAACAAACTTCAACATTCAAACAAATCTTAATAGAGCTGAAGAGACAAACATTGAACCAACCTCAACACTACAAAAGAGCTAAATACTCAAAAAACCTCAACACTACAACAGAGCCAACAATAAACTTTCCACACAAAATACATTTGGGGTAAACGAACGAACATTGACTAGTTGAGTGGTGAAAGGACAACCGAACAGTTGATTTAAAGAAACGTTTAAAATGTCTCTGGATTTTTCATCGACCCATAAGGCGTTAAAACCATTATTGTACTATTTATTATTTTTCGGATTGTGTCGACCATTTCCAAAGCCGAACAAGCTTGTCATGGTGATCTTTGTTTTGACCTTTATCTTACAAATATGGATGATTATTATGTGTTTTTGGAAAGTCGTTGTCTGCTTTCAAGGAGCAGAAAATCCTACCGAACCTGAAAACATTTCATTATACATTATAGCCATCCTTGTTGCCATAAACGAAACATTCTATTTTCTGTATGGATTGTTTTATGGTGGTAAGCGATTTGAAGCGTTTATTGCGTTTACTGAAGAACTTCAGAGTGATCCGATTTATAATGTAAATTTTGATAAACTGAAGAGGAATGTAACTATATTCATTATAATAACGTCGGTTTGTCTTTCAGTATCTTTTTTAGTGTTGTTGATCACAAATTTGCCGATATTTAATCCAGACTTTTCTTGTTTCTTTTCCCCTTACAATATTGGTTCGCCTGGATATTGGATTCACATCAGCAGTTTACCTGTTCTGGCCGTTTTGGTTTTGGGACAGACCATTGGTATCTTTGGCATTCTCACAGCAGTGTGTTACATGGTCAAGACTCAGTTGACAGTTTGTAATATTGAATTAGAGAAGCTGGTCAAATCTACACCAACAACTAAAAAGATCGTTGAAATCAGGAAACGATTTTTCTCCATCCACAGATACTGCCAATTGGCAGATAACGCTCTGACACCTTTGGTTGCGACAAACATTGTCATCAATTTCCTCATCGTATGTTTATTTGCTAATACCTTATCCTATGGGAAGTTTGGACCAACTGAAATAGTAACATACCCCATTATTATGTTGTTCTGTTTTTTCGAGATAACCTTTATAGTAGTCAACTGTACACTGGTTAATGAGAAGGTAAGTCAAATAGGCGGAATCTCAAGTCTTTAAATATTTACTTCGTCAGCTAATAATTCCCGAAGAAGGAATGTTTTGATTTTTCCCAAATTCACAGGCCTAGGATGGAACAAATACTCCATTCAGAAATTGGAATTAGCGGTCTGGAACTGCTGGGAATGTTTGTATCCTTTGGAATCCAACGCTTTTCCAACTTCAGTGAATTTTCAGTGGCAATCTTCCAACCTTTTTAAATATGTTATATTACAGGGGAAATGTTGTTTAGAGACCGCTGTATATCTTGAAGGAAGTAAAATGGATGATAAAACGATTTCTGTGGTAAATTATAACTTTTTAACACATTATATTCTGCAGATCAATACTGAGAAGTGGGCACGCATTTGAGTTATTGAGAATTTTCAAACGAGTTGTCAAATATGAGCTTTCTAGCTTTCTAGCTTCTTTTTTCACTCCGAATTGTCGGCCGACTTTTGTAGTTTTACACAAAAGCTTGACCAGATTATGAAGTCACTATCGCAAATACCATTCAAATACCGTGCAAATAAGAGCTGTAACTTCAACCTAAATTGAGCATGTATTGAAATATATAATAAGAATAGAAAACAAAACTTTTTTCCTATGTGATCTCTGAAAAAGGGGTGTGGAATGAAGTGGACAAATCCTAATGAATCATTTCAGATGAATATGTTTATCGAGAATATGAAAAGTGTAGATATCGGATTAACGTTCCTGAGATTATTTTTGATTGACAGATCAGCCATCTTATCGGTAAATAACAAATCTAACTATTTCATATAAAACTAAAGGCAAAGAAAGAAAAGTATTCATTAATAAGATACAAACACAGCATAGTTACCTATGTAGACATTCTAAAAGGAATGTGGAGTTCTCAAACCCAGCCAAAGAGCCTATTATTGCCATAAATTATCAGAAATCAGACCTGTCTCTTCTGATAAGGCTACTTTTACAAAATATACCTATCTAATTAGTAACCAATTGAACTGTTCTGAATTCCTTATTCCAGTCGTTCTGAATACTATAGATCAGTCGTTCTGAAAACTATATTTCAGTCATTCTGAATACTATATTTCAATCGTTCTGAATACTATGTTTCAGTCGTTCTGAATACTATATTTCAGCCATTCTGAATCCTATATTTCAGTCGTTCTGAATACTATATTTCAGTCGTTCTGAATCCTATATTTCAGCCATTCTGAATACTATATTTCAGTCGTTCTGAATACTATATTTCAGTCGTTCTGAATACTATATTTCATTAGTTCTTAATACTATATTACATTCGTTCTGAATACCATATTTTATTCGCTCTGAATACTATATTTTAGTCGTTCTGAATACTATATTTTAGTCGTTCTGAATACTATATTTCAGTCGTTCTGAATGCTATATTTTATTCATTCTGAAAACTATATTTCAGTCGTTCTGAATACTATATTTTAGTCGTTCTTAATACTATATTACATTCGTTCTGAATACTATATTTTAGTCGTTCTGAATACTATATTTTAGTCGTTCTGAATACTATATTTCAGTCGTTCTGAATACTACATTTCAGTCGTTCTGAATACTATATTTTAGTCGTTCTTAATACTATATTTTAGTCGTTCTAAATATTGAATTTCAGTTGTTCTGAATACTATATTTCAGTCGTTCTGAATACCATATTTCAGTCGTTCTGAATACTATATTTCAGTCGTTCTGAATTGCCGATTTCAGGGGTTTATGTCACTCTAATGTTTCGTATAGGAAGATAACACAGGTATGTGGTATTCAAGGCCGTATCGACCCCATTTGCCTAATTTTAACTTAGATTGTGCTACGTCTTTGGTATTTTACAGCTGTAAGGTAATCTAGCATTCAATAACAGTTAATTTTACTTTTCCAGTTATTTGGTACATTGGTAACCTACATAGTCTTAGTTATTCAGTTAAAACCTGCATAAAAACTGAATGAAGAAAAGTAAGAACTTAAAGGAATTATAAAAAAGGTTTTCTAAATTTTGATGTGTATCGGAGACGAGGATTGCATCAAGTTGCACCATTTCAATTTTCACTCCGCCGTCTGTGACACTAAAACTAAGTGCTTGATGACGTAACTAAGGCCACACAAGGCTCTTCGCCATCAGTGACGTCAACAAATACTTAGTTTTAAGGGATTTGCAAGAACTCGATGTACATAATTTTTTTAGAAAACCTTTTTATAATTGCTTTAATTGAACCTGCCTGTGAGAATAAGTCGCGGTTTAACGCAACAACAGATTAGGAAATAATCGTTAGTTATAATCGTAAACCTTCGGTATTTTTTTGTTTTATCTTTTTATAATTTTGTGCTAAGGATGTTCGTTATTAGTCTTGAAAACAGATGAAGTAACAAATGATATTAGTCCTATATAATGAAACTATGGAAAGTGGAAGCTGTGCGGCGCCACAAATAGGGAGCAGACAGACTCAATGGCGGATGGGTGGTTGGGGGTCAACCGGCAAGGCTGAAATCAATATGCGGAAATTTTGCAGAGGCTTCTTGCAGCAAGCCTCTAATTTAGCGTCTGAGAGGGTTCTCCCAAGAAAATTTTTGAAAAATCAAATTGATTTAGTGCATTTTAACACACATTTAGGGGCAAATATTTTTTAAAAATAAAGTGGATTGTAACTAATTTGTCTAGTCCCCCCCTCCTATAGCCCCAATGAGTGGAAATCAAAACGTCAAAGATGAGACCAAAGTATCCGCAAAGTCTTTGATGCATTTATGTTTAAGTCTATGATCATATATCATAATATTTTATTTATGTCTATATCACTCAGCAATCAATATTGTGAGTAGGCCTACTGTTATAAATATATATTTTACTTAAAACTACTTTATCTATTACACCATAATATTTGATTTTATCAGTACTAAATAAATCAGAAGGGGGGAGGTGCTCGATTGTTGACTTCTGTACGTTCGAGTTGAATCAACCTGAAGTTCAATAAAACAAGATGATATAGGGTTCAATTGAGACCGAAATTGCAACAGACGAAACCTGCTCAGGACTCGCCAATCGAGCGCCACCGATGTCATGAGGAGGATTGACGAGTTGAGATACCAAAGCATAGAGGGACACTACTGAAATTCAATGAAGTATTATTCTTTTAAACTAAAACTTAGGTGAACTTAATTCTTTTTGTGTTATACTGATACTGATAGCATCCATTTTCGCCATTCCAATTTACAAAAAAAAAAAATGTGGTTCCTGGAATTCCTCTTTAAGTGTTTGATTTTGTTAAAGATAATAATTTGTCCATCCTGCCTGAATGTCGCCCTCCCAGTTCATGTTGAGTGCACCGTAACAATCGCCTGTTGGTAAATCTTTCGTGATAAGTTCACAAATAGACCTCCCATTCACTGAAATAAATTGAAAAATGTTATTTCAAAAGATATATTTGTCGAAATAGAGCTATATGGTTTAAGCTATAAGAAACAATTTTATAAAGTTAAACATTGGACGTCATGTTCTGCTATTTCCAGAAAAGGGTCTCCACAACTCGAATCATGATTAATCAAAAGATATGGTTCAACATTTGGGAACAGGAATTGTTAAGCTAGGTTATTACTGTCTTATTTCTGTCGCAATGTTAGCCTTTTTTGTCGTGAGTATATTAATCAATATTATTATTATTATATTATTATTATTGACGAGTCGTCTTTTTCTAAATTAGAACCCTTAAGAACTTGAAACCAAAAAGTATTCCCGAACAGTATTTCCTGCTATAGACTATATCAGCAAGACGTATTTCGGGTACCCTAATTTTAAGACAGTTGATAAAATAATGAAAGACAAAACCAAAAGTATTATCTCGAACCGTGCCGGAATGGATTAATCCTTGCTTTATTTTTTCCTTTGATAACAAATCTTTTAAACGAAAAATTGTTCACCTTTAACTAATATATAATTAGATATAAGTGTAGGACGTTGTGTGTGTAATATAATATGCGCACATTGCCGCTTTTCAATGATTTACCTACCAGCCTTTGACACGTTGAAGCTATAACATCCATTCAGATTCAAACACATAAGAGCACATTTTGTATAAGTCTTTACAATGTGTTTGATTGCTATATCTACAATTCGTCTATTCTTTCTACTCTTAAATACAGATTCTGTAATAAAAAAGTTTGAGATTTTTCAGCGGTCATTCGATGTTCATTTTCAAACCAAAAAACCTTGAAATTAAACTCATTATGATTGATATACTTCCTCGTGCGAAAAGTTCGTTAGCTGCTATCAATGTATTGCCGAACTGTTATTTTGTATTTCGTTCTGTGGTTTGGATCGTTAGTACTTGTTTTTTTTTTTTAGCATATGTAGCCTATGTACCATTTATTATTCTTTTGTTTACAGACCATTGAAAGCTACATTGGCAATTACACAATAAACAATATACAATATACAATAAGTAGATAGCACTTACCATTCGTTAGTTCATCGGTTTGACCAACTATCCAATGGGATTCAAAGTTTCCATCATATTTTGCAAATCCAATATACTTGATATCCTGAGAAAAGGAAGTATAATATACCAAATCTACACCAGGAGTTTTCCCAGTACCATATTCTATTTGTGTTCCGGTCCATCTTATCCATAACCATGTGTATTCTGTTGGAGTAACTAAATCACTCGTGTGTGTATGTACGTTATGCAAACAATCTGATTCAATGATAAGTTCTTTTGAATCATTTCCAACCCCAATATATATTACACCTAGTTTTGACGTGTCATTGAATAAATGTAATTGAGGTTTTGTCTCGGATTTTAAAGCAATAACCAAATGATTTTTTTTTGCAACATTCTGAAAATACGACACCTTTTTTATTGCAGTGGTAACAAATCTTCCACAATCTGAAATTAAAGAAATAAAACTTAATAATAATAATAATAATAATAATAATAATAATAACAGATTTTGCTTGGAAGATTTCAGGGGCAATTTTGATTGGACAATATGGATACGCAATTTTTCCCACTGGTATTACCAATGCCACGAGGAAATATTGGGGTATAGTTTAGACAAGATATGCAAGTGTCTGAAATTCGGAATGTTGATTCATTTAAAAATCTGTATATATTTTTACCAATCATAACGATAAATCTTTTGTAGTAAATAAAATATATTGTTACAATCCGTTAGGGATATCGAGTTGACAATCCTTCATTCAGACATCTTTAGAATGTCTGGCTATTACGATGCAATATGAACTCAACTATTCTTACAGCAAATTGTTTGGATTGTGCGTCATCGAAAAGTCCTAATGAGAGCTCTCGACAGAAAGGCTGTGTAAATCATGGCTTTGTGTTCATAAATTCTCTGTCTCTGATTGGCTGTTATCGCTAGCGTACAATACAATCAAGTCGCTTCATATACAAATTTCCATGATACAAAAGAGGTGACTATTGCAGTCAATGTATAAAGTATGAAGTTTGTAATAGCTAGACACTGTGAAGATGAAACGCAGACAGAACAGGAAAAGCAAATACTAAATACACAAAGATAAATTTATACAATTTCACAAGTATTGTTACTACATTATCAGCCTTATGAAGTATAACAAAGCTAAAACAATTACTTGCGTTTGCTAACATTTAGAAATGAAACGAAGTGGAATTCTACGCCTTATTGTTTTCCGCTTGGTAGGTCTAATGAAGATGCAACGCCATGCAGTTTATAATGAGGCAAACTTTTGCTAGGGCAGTATCAGCCTACATACATAATGTGGTGAGCAAACAACGCTTTAATAGGAAAAGTAACATCCATTCTGGCTTGTAACTAAGCACCAACACCAACAACTTTTCCTACCTGCACGGTGTGCCAAATGTACCAAAATTATCCATCTTAACACCCAGAACAGTGAAATTAACCACATGATAGCTGTGTATCAATAATCATAATATTACAGTCGTATCACCTGATAATGTCCATTAGCTAACAGCACTTGTGTGTAAGGGATTGCATCGTCTAATTTATGCCTAACCAAATTCTGACAACCAACCAACTCCATTACTGAAACTAAAGATCATACACCATTGCCCCTCCAGAAATATTACTTACCCTCCGAACAATCAAATCTGGCTACTGGCCTGGTCCGTCCGTCTATGATTGGCCATCTCTATTGAAGATTGAATTTAGAAGAAACTTGGTACTTTTGTGCTTATTAGACACAACTTTCCAGATTTTTGTATCTTGGCCTTAACTGTCAGAATTGGCTTGTCAACGCAATACATGTCACCGAATTATGATTCTAGTATGCTCATGCTTAATTGTGAGAGCTCAGATTAGTTCAACTGTATCTGTCAAAGTAGTCGCTACAATTCGATGATCTGTTTCTGTATGGGTACAATATATCAATATAAACTTGTAGAACCAATAGTCCACAATGTCCCCCTCAGATTGGATGAACTTTTACTTTCTCAATTGTGTACAATGGTGTAAAATGGTTGTTTCCCCAAATTGTACCTCTACTTCAATTCTAACGAAATTAAAAATATTATTTTTATATGTTTATAAGTCAATTCTCTTTGAGAAAGAACTCTCTCACGCGTTTCTTGGGAGGCTTGCAGCTGCTTTGCTACATTAATCTGATCCTTATAATCTTCCCCATTAAGCTAGTCTACTACCTATTTTACTTATGAGAGTCTCGGGAGACTGATTGCCCCCACTGATTGTGTATGATCAGTTTTTGGAGTAATGACACTAAGAAGAATATATAATATTATAAACGTTTGATCAGATAGAAATTAAAATGCGGATGAGATAAAAGATAAAGTCAGATCTACAACATTAATTCATAATTTATGAAAACACTTTATTATAAAGTAGTTCTAATTATCAATCATATTTTCTACCAAGCTTTATTCTATCAATTAAGCATCATATTGTTTTTTTTGTAACCATAATGGTACTAAATGGAAACTACATCGATTTTTTGGGCCAAATCATTTCATAGTTTATGCTTTAGGAAAAAGAATCAGGGGAAATTGACAATGCCATTATGATTTTTTTTTTTTTTGCTTGCAACATTTGCTTCTTCAAAATGAAATAAAAAGATAATAGTTAAATTTTTAAGCAAGAATTTGTATATTATATTCAAACACTCCATCACAAGTTTTCTGTGCATATGGCTGTAAATAGGACTATGCTAACCACTTAACCACAAAACAATTCTGGGTAACTTCGATTGGAGCGCGGGTTGGACTCGAGTCACATCCGCGCTGTAATATTTTGTAGAGTTGACACATGTGTGACGTAATATTTGAACTATAGTTAGTAGCTCACTAGCTCCGACACTCACTATATGGAGGCATACATGGTAGCATGGAATGTCTATATATGGTCAAAAGTCTCGCCATATTGCGTTTACTCGATCAAATTCGACCGGAACATGCACACTGAAGATAATTACGTCATTTCTCCATCAACTCCAGCTCCAACAGGGACTACAATATTCGACAATGTCTTGATGGTTCAGCTAAGTATAATCAGACTATAATGGTTCTTAGTGATAATCTAAGAAAAACTAAGGGACCCAAAAGTGGGTCGGAGCAACTCTCATAAAAAGTTACATTGTATGTATTTCCCTAAACGTGCCGATATTATGTTCAAGGAAAAAAAGGATAAATTCTAATTTTTAAGGAAATATTGGTTGGCATATAAGATTATTTTGACTAGCAGTCCGCTTACAGTGTTCAAACAAAGTGGTCCGCTTACATTAACTATGAAGTAGAGAGGCAAAAATATGTTGATAAGCGCTAACCTGAAAGTAGATGTAGGAGAAGTAAGAATTAGATGAATGTACGCAAGAAAAAAATACCTAGAAGAACAAGGTGAAAGGAAGAACGTGCAAAAGGGTAGAAATGTAAGAACATTACCCAATATAAGAATAGGCAAGGGGATTAGAGAGAAGGTAAGTGGAGACAGACAGTTGGAGCATAGAGTAGGGTATATTTTCAGTGAAGAAAAGTGTTCAGTGTGACGGTTGAAGAAATTGATAGGGTTAACAGGTTTGAATAGACAGTGTATAATGTAGTGGGGTAGAAGATTGGGTAAGGAGGAAGGAAAACGTAGACAGAAGGATATGTGGGATTTTCTCTTATATTGAGAGGCACACAATGTACCTACGTGCATAGTTTCGAATTACAATACTCCGAAGTCTTATTGTGGTTTACAGACGTCCAACAATTAACTGGATTTACACATATTAATGAAATCGGCAATAATTAAATTTAAAATATTTTCATAAGTAGTCTCAATGACAGTGGTCAAACAAAATTGCAGTGAATTACTTCCCTTGAGGTAAAACGCATACAAAACGTTACCATTTATTTATTGCGATTAATGAAATAATCAGTAGCAATTCAAAACGTTTCAGCTGTAGGCTCCAGACCTATCTCGCCATTGACGTCTAAGTAATGATCAGACCAAATTTCATTTAAATCAGATGAAAACTTTAGTCTCTATTCTGCTCACGAACAAATTTGGACGCGTTTTAACTTAATCAATGGTAACAACCCGAAAACCATTCATTTCAAAATCGTAAAATTCAACATTGTCCAAGGTCTTATTAATATAAATAATCACACCAAATTTCATAAGATGAAAAATAAAATCTCTTATCTATGCTGCTCACGAATACGCTCAAATTTAGCGGTATACGACAATTTACGATTCAAATAACCCTCTTTGCGATCCAATATTTCCAATTAGAATTTACATGACGATCTACAAATCGAATCAAATTGAGTATTTTAGAAAGATCTAGTAATAAGGCAACACTCGGCGATCTCTATAAGCGTTGAAGAACTGTGAATCGTTTCAAATGACCAGACCTTAGACAAGTTCGAATTCTCGCGATTTATCGATGAACAGTTTTTTTGAGTTATTTCTCTTGACTTAGTTAAAACGATTTAAAATTTATTCGTGAACTAAAAAGAGACTACATTTTTGATAAAAATCAATTGATTAGTATTCATTTTTCAGATTTAGAAGAACTGTTTTGGAATTGAGCTTTTGTTTGTGAGCGTAATATAAAGTGACAAATTTCTATGTCTTTTAGTTTCACATTTGAGTGAGATTAAACATTGTGATTCGTGCTGCTTTTATTGTATAAAAAAATTATCAAAGTTGTTGTGCGGGCGTATGTTCTTTATATGTATCGGGAACATTCAAAAACCATCGATTAGCACCATTCAGTCAGAAGTCTGTTGGTGTTTGCAATTCCACTAAAATTAAGCTATCTCGAAGATCCTTTAATGATGGACAAGTTCTTTTACGATGTGAGGTTTATTTCTAAAATTCTCGGAACTACAGAGACAAAAGATATAAATAACAAAGTTAGAAAACCTTACAGCAACATAGTCTGTCCATTAATATACATGTACTTGTGTATTTGTGGTATTATGAAATTTCTTTACTTTCAACCCATGGGTTGAATGTTAGGGCCTTATTTTGACCCATGAAAAATAAAGAGTTCGTTATTATTATTACCACCAACACTATGGACTGTAGAGTTGTCTAGTAAAAGTTGGCTCTTCTCATTGACATCGAACGCATTTTCGGAATCTTCTTCAATATTTGCATTTTCTACGCCTCTATTTTTTTTAAAGGGACACATTACGGCGACTGAAATGCACAAGTTCGTGGTAAATTTTGAGGAAAGTTAAAAACAGTCAACCCAATACCACAAGTTATGCCATCATATTGCGTTCTAACGTTTTTGCAGCGTATTTTATCACGTGTGTCAGATAGCCAAACGTCCAAAATAAACGTCGTGGATAGTGACGACAATGGTGACATTGCACACGGATTTTTTTAGCCAAGCTAATCGAAATTCGAGAATATAATTGTCCACGTTTGACGATTCGTCTTTTTTTGATACTCCGCCATATGTATATTTTAAGGGACTATGCAGACTACGCCCCGAAAATGGCGAAGAATGGCTTTTTAGCCCCGTTTACGTGAGCAATTTTTTTTGACAATTTTGCCTTACTCATCCAGCGTAACATACTGCACATTGCACAGTTTTGCTACAAGAAATTAATAGCCCAACAATATAACCCACTTAAGCAAACCTTCATCTCTAACTGCTTTATTCGAAGCCTATACGCCGTCACGTCTCGTTCATTTTTACGGGTTCTCAAGAATATTTACTTACGCCAATAGAAAAAAAGTCTCATGCTTGACAGGAAATTGGGGTTTTGCCATTGGATGGTAGAAGTGATGATGTAGGCAACAGGTTAAATATCATTTTGCCAAATCTGATATACAATACTAAATGTAAGACAAAACGCATTCCTCGAGCTGAACTTGCACTTGTTAGTGTCCACTGGAGTTAAAAGAACATATTCATTGATGATTATATATCCAAAACATTCTCGGGTAAAAAAAAAAATTTCTGGGAAAGGGGTGTTACTCGTATCTACAAACGTGGTCAATTCAGCCGACGACCATTGAGCTGGACTATATGTTTGATAAGAGATTCTGGAGTCAATGAAACATGATGAGAATACCCCAGGATTTAATAATAAATATGTATTACGTGTGATATCTGAAATCTGCGGAATTGTATATAAACTAGTGTCCAAAAGAAACGATACCAACTTATTTTCAAAATTGTTTTTTACTAAGTGAATTGTCTAATATGAAAACATGCCAATTCGTATTGCACATCCCAAACACAGCATAGTCGATAAAAATACCGGGAACACGTGATCACTTCCTGGAAAAAACGTAAATTTCGTGAAAGTGACATTTCCCTGTCTAGCATGTTCTGCACGTGCATAAAAACTGTATAAAACGGCTGATCAGACACGTTGATATCACAGCAACAAAAAGAACACAAGATATGCCACTTTTGACAGCCATCGAGAG